TCTTATCAACAGTTTGAGGTCCTTTTGACGTAAATAAATGTCACAAGAGAAAATTTAGCCTGGGCACAAATAAAGCCTCTAGAAGTCAACCTTTAACTGACACGGATTTTCCCGCCTTTGGCTGATGGAATAACAAGTGACACGGGATTTATTGGCTGTCTACGCAGCAGGCATATAAGGGAACAACAACTAATACAATGCAACGCCAATTTTCTAACATAAAAAAAAGAAAAGAAAAAAAAAGAAAAACAGTCCCACTACATGTATAGTAAAAATTCACTTTGCGAAGTTGCACGGTCATAAATAAAACCGCGAACAACGTTTGCTTTCTGTATAAATATTATGATGGCAAAAAAAAAAACGAAAGGAAGCAAGATTTTAAAAATAACGACATTCTTGATTCGCATCCAACTTTTTTTAGACATCCCAGGAGCAACGGTGCCATAAGAACTGAATCTAAACCGGTAGATGATATTATATCGATCAATTTTACTAAACTGCAGATAAAAATTAACAACTAAAATAAAAATTTTAAAAGTCTTAAAAGTATTGGAATATTCAATGGTTTGCAAAAACTTTCGATTGAAATGGTCTTTAATGCAGACGGCTTTTACGGTGGTAGTTGTATGCAGGGGCACGTGTGCGGCCCTATTTTTTAGAAATACCAGACAGTTTCGTAATATACGTTACGTAACAGGCAATGTGCTATCGTCTATCAATCTAGGGCTATTTAGATAATAAACTGAAACAGGGAAATTCGCCCCTATTTGTGATAACAAAGTATAACAAGACATTTATTTTCTTTACTTCATATAATGGTAATATCAACGCGAAACTAAAACACATTATCCGCTAATGCAGCTTTGTTGTAAGTAAGGCCGAATATCTTTTCAATTATTTCTTTGCAAGTCTCACATTTTCTATACTTCTATACTTGTGATATTTCTTATTCAACATAATATAAATAAATAAATATCATCCCCATTGTAGCTTTTGTTCTAAATTTCAGAACGCGCAATCGTTGTCTTCTTATACTAAATGTATAACGGTCCCGGTAACACTTTTGTTTTTTGTTTGACAGTTTAATTGGCCGTCTTCGCACGTGTTGCTGGATGTCATTCGTCGCATCTGGTCCGGATAGATTAGCCCAGCTGTCATTCATAATTTCAGCGACGGATTTCGCGACGCAAATCAACACCTACACACACACACACACGTTATTCACTACTATGTACTAGAACTGTAAGGATTGCTATCGCCATTCGAATATGCAGATTCACGTCAATGTTTTCAATGAAACGTGTTCGTGATTCCGATTAATTTACTGACAAGGAACGTCTACACCGAACGAACATATCAATTGCGCTCTTTATTCAATAAAATAGGAATAACATTATGCCAAGCTAACATAACAATTAAATGCGGAATCGTCTAATAAATTAATTTACACCTAGCAACTTATTATACTATAGAATTCGATTATTTTAAGAAAACTATTAATACCGATAAAAACCTGAATTCAGTTTGTTAAAAAAATTGTAAGGACTTTAGGACAATATTACATATACCTTTACGTTTTCGTTAAACAAAATACTGTAGCAAGCACGAGTGTGTTTGTGTGCGATAGGGCACACGTGTGCGTGAACGGCTTATCGATTCGCCGACTAGCCGCGGGCGCCTTTCTTCATATGCGCCGTATTTGTAAATGTGTGTGTCGTACTTACGTTCTAGGAAAACAGTTAAACAGTTCAAAGAAAAAATAAACTATCCGGATGTTTCCAGATGGTTCCAGAAAGTAAACAAAAGAGTATTTAAAGGAAGAGGCGATCGCCGAGAGAGGAAGAAAATAAATTGACCGTTTCAGAAGTGAATCCAGAAATAAATTGACAGTGATAGCAGTGAAATAAATAGCGCAGCAAATAGTAATATATCAACAGTAGTGTAAATAAATAGAATAATTCATAACCTAAGTTTAGTAATAATTTAATAGTATTTTTAAGTTCTTTAATAATTAGTGTAAATAAATTAAAATAGGTTTTCTCGTTATCAGTCTTAAAAGTTAATTTTGTTAAACCCACGAATATTACAATACGATTACACAATAAATAGATAAGAGAAACAACGTACCCTTAAATAAGCTCCGAGTTAATAAAATTGTATTTTCACTTATTGTTACTATAGACGTAATGGAAATTGTAACAAACGATATTTTAGTGATTTTCCGACACTTCCCACCCAATAATTAACATTTTTGGGTAAAAATGGTCACTAGGGTGTAATGTAACGTAAAGTAAAACGTTACAGAGCGCTATAAAGGGACGACGGAGAGGGTTAAAAACCTTCAAACACTGGGTTAAGTATTATTTAAACGGACCCATAGAAAGGTACATTTCCACAGTAAATCAGCCGTCTCCTTATCTACCACTAACTTACATAAGGCACAATAAAAAATTACATTTATTTTAATTTTTCATTTCAACCACTACCAAAATGTAAAAATTTTTTTTAATGCAGTATAAGCATACTTTACGAATTCTTTGAAGATGAAGTACATACTTACGATTTTGTAAAGCATGGCAAGGACGGTGAAAGCTTACCTAAAAGAAAAAATAAAGATGTTAAAAAAAATTATCACAATAACAATAAAAATAAGGAATATTGAACACCTCTGCGAGGCCGCAACCAGTTAACAGGATAAATAGGATCAAAGAAACGACAGCTAAATCGTTTTACTCTTTTTATTAATTTCATACGTGAACTTCAAAAATTATGATACACTTTTTTGGTATTTATTATAAAAGGAGTGACATTAACCGCTACCCGGCCGGATACTAACAACAATGTCCGATCCGCTGAGTATCGGATCCAAACTGCATACCCGGCCAATCTCTGAAATAATCGTTCTTCATCAGAGAGCACGATACGCATTTGTAAAACATCAAAAAACAACACGATCCGAACCGAAAATGTTCATTGCCATACATGAATTTTTTCTGTTTACATTCGTCCAGGTTCCTGCTTCTAAAGATTATAAAAAATTTGTTTCTAAGCTCCATATATCCTTTCTAATGATAAGTCATTTGGTTGAAGTTGTCATTACTGTTTCCATATTATTAAAAGCCAGCCATCGGAAAATAGACGGATCAATGCAATTTTTTTTATAAATCAGATACTAAATTTCTGCAACAGATTTTCGGGAAAAAATTCCGTTATGAACAGAAGGGATGAACATGTGAATCATCTTATTGGGACACCATTCTTCGTTTTGTATTATGGAACTATGTAAGTTATACGTAGATAGCAAATATCATATTGATAGTGATCATCGAGAAGACGTAGCTGAATTCCTCACTTCTCTGATTTCGAACGAATTCTACATGGAAATGTAGGAACAAAGAAGAAAAATCATTCTAACGCAGATCTTTCGAGATAACCCCATCTGAGATTATTTCGAAAATGAATACAGGGGATGTTGTCTCTTTAATGGGACGTTTTCCGATTCCATAGCTACTCTTTCCGTCAGGGGGGCGTCAACGTTGAGTAATGTTAAAAACTTCCTCATGACTACAACAGTACATACATACAAATTTTTATCAAGCCGCCGCAATTTATACGATTAGAAAAGAAAAGATTGCGACGTATGTATATGTGCGAGTTTTTGTTTTGGAAACGAATGTGTAGGGAGAATTGCGAACGCGAACGCGGCTATTTGTACGAATGTATGTATACGGAAGGCGCGTGTGTTTGCATGCATTATGTCGGATATCAGCTTTCGGGCTACGCTTCCGCGTTTGTCAACATTTCTTGCGAACATCTGTGAAATGTGTTGCTTACTATTGTTCGTGGCACAAAGCGCCAGAAATCTAGCAAAATTAAAACGCTTCACGCGCGACCCGCTTACAGAGTGTTCCACTTTTTTATTAGCTGGCAATGAATAGGTTCTTCCAACATTCCAAAAATTTAAACATCGTTTTTAGTCGTAGTAGGGAAGAGGATAGATGGCAAAATATAAATACAGGGTAAAAAGTTCCTAGATGATTAAAAAAAACTGTGGTAAAGGTCTAGATGATGGCCTTCACCCCCTCCGGGGGTAGGGATCGAAAGAAGATGCCTCCCCCACCACAGTACCATAAAAAGTTGTGGGGGTTCAAAGTTAATAAATATGCCAATTTTATACATTTCTAGGCATGTAAATATTTATATAGTCATTCTTAAACAATATTCAAAGGTAAAACTAATGGAAAAATACATAAAAATATTGAGAAAGTTATATAAAACATTATTTAAATATCTTTATCAATAGGG